GGTAAAGTAAAGAAATTTTATTGAATTTCGCATATTTTATGGTACACATCGTGAACATGATATTAGTAAATATTTTATTTTAATTTTTATCAAGAAATTACTTATTACATAGTTATAGTTTTCGGAAAGCTCTTTAAATTTATGGTAGAATTACGGCCTCATTAAAATGTTTAGTATTTCCTGTGATTTTAAGTTATCACGAATCCATCTCATCGGCTGCATACGAACAATACAGTTCACTTTTCCTCGAAAAGTAGTCACCCAAAAAGGTACACGCGTAATATGAGCGGATATTTTTCAAAATTCAAACGTTGTGAAACCTTTGATATTCTATCACGATTATATTTACGAATATTTTTAAGTAACAGTAATTGATATTTCAAATACAACAAATACACGTTGCTAAGGCTGTGTTGATGAGCATAGTCAAAAAACAAAAAAAAAAAAAATCCGTATAAATCGTTTGTGTATATCTTTTTAGCGAGTATTTAACACGTTTCACACGATCATTTTCCTGTATACCAGATGCGCGTTATGATAAAATGTGACTTACGTCGTTCGGTGGTTTAACAATGACTATAAATATCAATCCGTCGAATAACGTCCGTGACGTGCTTCTTTTTCGGTAATGTTACCATAGCAATGTACTCACCAGACATAATATTATAATCACGGATTATTATTTATGTACTATAAATGAGTCATGCGAATCCGAACAAATGCATTTATATAATAACCTTCACCGGAACGGGCCAAAAACATCCGTCGTTTTCAATTTACGTAAGAATTTTGTCGGTTTCGACTCACTGTTGCAGTGCGTATGAGTGTACGTGTACGTGTACGTGTGTGTGTGTCTGTGTGTATTAGTCGTATCGCGCGGAAAAAACCATCCTCATTGGCGGGATTTTTTTCCTCGCTCTTTCCTTCCCCACGTAGGAATTTTCGCGGCCTCTCCTCGTCGGCGCCGAAGTTTTCCAATTAAAAGCCATTACTGCGGCGAAAAGTTAAAAGGCGCGCGCGCCTGTTTTTCAATCAGCCGAACAACTCGGCAAAAGCCGATACTATGCCATAGCGCGCGTGAGGCTTTCACACAAATAATAACCGACTCCGTGGAAGGGTGAGGCGGAAGGGACACAAGTCACCGTGATTTCTACACCCCTTGTGTACCCTTTCTTGTCCGGGAAGGAGAAAAACTAGTGAAAAAAGAAAAAAAAAAATCAGAAAAATAACGAATCGGAGAACGAAAGTGTGTACCGAAAGGATCTCGATATCCACTCTTTCTCTAAAAAGTGGGTTTCTTATTGAAATCAAACAGTCGATTGATATAACGGCTCGGCGGTAGGGCTTGCATGATTAATGGTCGTTTAGAGATTGCGGCGGTGGGATTTCCGCGCCGAAAGTCTCGAACACTGCGAGAGAAAAAAAAAACGAATAAACACGAATATAGGTTTTCCGCGTTTCGAATAAAAACGCGAACGTCGTAATGACTTAAGCCACCGCCGCTGCGGAAGGTTTTAAATTCGAAAGCGGTTTTTGAATCTCGCGCATTAACAGTGTACGTGTATAGTTTTGCGTGTTAAATAAAATGGATCTGCAAAAATCACTCATTCACTTCTACAGCCGGCCGGATACTTACGTTTTCAGCGATGATTTGGTTATATTTTTTTTATTATTATTATTTTTTTTTTCATTTAGTAATGCTCGTGTACACAAATAATTTTGCGGTTCTATGTGATTACCTACCGCGGTAATAGCACTTGTCGGAAATCATAAATACTTTTGGAACTCAAAACACGCATTTCCTCGTCGTCGTCGTGCAACGACGGCGTGGAGGCGCAGTGATCGGTCACAGCACCGATATAATTTAAAGTTGTCGGTTTGACGCGCACTGGCCCCTCTGCTTTTTTCCGCCGCTCGTCGTTCAGTTGTAAATAGTTAATTTTCTCGAGTCGGAAACGTGGGACGGCGGTGGGTGTAGTAGTATGAAGGAACGCTTTTCCCTCCGCGGACAACAATTAATAACACGGCTTCTGCAGCGCCGAGTCTTCGCGAACGAAAAATTAGCAAATAGTTCTCCGTGCGTATTGCACGCAATACACTCCGGTAGTTGGAAAAACAATTTACACGGCGAAAACGATTTGTCATAGACGATCACAATGAAGATAGCAAAGAAAAAATGCAATCGAAATGTTGATTTTTACTCCAGCAATACGAGGATATGATACATCCGCAGCGGCACACGGGTGAACGGAAAAAAATGCATTCGCAAACACCGCGTGGACCACTCGTATCGCATCGATTAACATTCCCTAGAAAACTAGTAATGAAAGCCGTTTTCAATTCTCGATTAAATAGGTTTATATCGGATTTTTTTTTTTTTTTTCTAAACCGAATCGTCTGCGTACGTCACTATGCGGTCATCTCGAACCGATGGCAATTATCTACGACGTGAACTAATCGCAAATCTAACGACGGTCGTGTGAAACGACCGGTAAATGTATATCGTTAACGAAGTATCGGTATAATTATACGTCAGCACGAGCACGGATCAGTTGTTTCTTCGACGAATCGGTCGATTGATTCAAAACGAACCGTTCGCGCGATACGCGTATTATTACGGTACACTTCGCACTCACTCCGGTTCGCGTGGTCGCCCTGCAGTGGCGGCGAATGCGAGTTGGGCTCGTCGCCAGGGCCGTCCCAAGGTTTTTTAAGGACAAGAGCAAATTAATTTGGTAGGCCCTTCCATCATAATTTTAAGATATGATAAACAAAATACTCATTGAGAATAACAAAATTCTCGTAAACGTATTTTTCCATATCTTAACCAATCAAGTTCATTTAAATTCACGCCCGCCGCTTGCATTTCTCGCGCCTCTTGTTTCCGATGTTATAATCAATAATCAACAGTTTATGAAAAAAAATGACGAAAATTTTTTATACATTACACAATACATTATCGACCCTTCTTCTTCTTTTGGAATTTCTTTAAATGGACCGTGGCGATTTAATTTACATCGCCACAAAAACTTTGATAAATAAAACGTTATATTACATTATAATATTATTCTTAAAATATCCTTAAAACATTATTTTTTATCTGCATTTTATAACATCGAAAACACGAGAGACGTAAGTGTCGGTTGTCGACTAAACCTGAGGGGTGGGGGTAACATTTTCTTGGCGGGGGTCAACTGGATCAGTACTAAATCGCGCAACACCGCGCCATGCCCTTCGTGCCTTTGTAATGGGTTTAAATATTTATAAAACATTTAGTTGCAATGTTAACCTGTAACAAGGTATGACCGACCGTTTGGGTTTGCACGATAAAATGTCGACTATCGCACGAACCGTACGGAAACGTTACAAAATCGTAGAGATTTTGTCGATTTTAAGGATTCTGAATAATCGTATTGGTGACTGTAAAACGTGCATTATCTGTGTATCACGCACACGCCCCCGCGTACACTGCATTATTTTATTATCACGAAACCTTTTTTTTTTTTTAATTTTACGACTGTAATATAATCACAATCGCAGTCGTAAAACGTACGGTTGTAAATCATTATACACACACATGTATTCACAGCAGTGCGTTTACTCGGACTTGTACGGTTCGTGATCGAAACGCAGCTATTGCCTTGGACATCGATTGCAAGAAAAAAAAAAAAAAATGAAAGAAAGAAACCGCTTTTTACGTGTTATAAACAGTACACGACGTCAAAAATGATCGTGTCGCGTAGGTACACTAACGCTTTTTTGGGGGGGGGGGGGTTAACTCCCATTAACGTAATGTAGTCAACTAAACGTGCACGCAAGACGTAGAAATAATTACGGCGTCGTCGTGCATCAGAACGTACCGAAAAACGTGTAAAACGTTTTCCAACACGTTTGCCGACTCCGAACACCGCGGACGACATTTAATTTGTCGGACAACCCTTCGATGAAAGTCGATCGAACCGTAACAACAATAATAATTAAGCGTAGCGTATCGCAGACGGGGATGGGACGAACAGGAGAAAACACGCACACGAAGTTTATATCATTACTTGTTTGTTTTATTATCATCATTTGGATTCGTACAGAGAATTTTCAAATCACACCGTAACATCCTTTAACATTATCTATTTACAATAATAATAATAATAATAATAATAATAATAATAATAATAATAATGAAAAAAAAATATATATTAAATTAAACAGGCATATAATTTTGTATATAATAATGTATATTATTATTTATATATGATAAATGTGTATAATAATATGTATATAGTATGTAATTAAAAAACGAAACTTTCCGGTTTTTACTTTTCACTCTATAATTAATTATGTATATATATATACATATATATAAATATACTGTGAAAGTTGTATACACACAAACCGCATGTATATACAAATACGCTTTAAAATGTTTCATGTATGTACAAAATATATCATCCAGACGTTTTTGTTTCAACGATCGATCGTTTATAGATGGCTCTCGATCGATGCTCTATTGAATCAAGACGGACACAAATATCATGATTGACAGTAACACGACAAGACTAATAATATAAATTAATATTTTATTTATTTTCACTATACACTATGAGAGAATCGTTTTTCTACATCTAGTTCACATTTTTTTTTTTTTTTTAATTTTTTTTTTTACAACAAAATAAAATAATGAATATTGCACTTTTGTAAGCTATATTAATATTTAATTTTAAACATAGAACTTTATCGTCGACATAAATAAAAATAAATAAACAAATCGGGAAAAATATAGAAAAAAAAATAGGAGAATAAAACAAAAAAAAAAAAAAAA